TGTCAGAATGTCATTCCATCACTTTCCAAGGTTGTTCAACTCAAAAGATGCCTTCCAAATAATATGCATATATTATTGAAAATCGTCATTCTTTTCCCTATTAGTACATTATGTAGTCTGCTGCTCTTGCTGTACATATCGAGATTCTTGACAAAATGAAAGAAGGATCTATAATGTAATTGATCCTGACCAGTCATCTCGACATTTAGTCACTTTCTAACCGAAAGTCACTTTTCTACAAATATTTCCATGGCAACTGCACTGACGAGTATTTTTTCCCTGGTGCCCCGACTACATGAATTTAAGCAAGCTGCTAGATTGGCAAGTAGGTCCCACCGTTTTATTGTTGAAATAGCTAAAAGCAATTTGCACTTTCGCACCAAGTTTTCTTTTCTCGTACTTCTCAATCACCATCTTGAAACCCGTTCATCTTTTGTACTTTCCTCAATCCTCTCTATTCTCAGTCTCCTCATTCATTTTCACTCCCTATAACCTCCTGCGTACTAGTGGCATTACCGCCTTGCTTGGGGTGAAATGATTAAAAAACAAAACAACATATACATTTACATGGATTATTTTATCGAGAGGAGTTTTACAAATTATTATCAATAGAAAATGTTTTTAAACTTGAATACATGTAAAGTAATTTGTTTTAATTTAAAATTAATTGTTAACTTTTTGAACGCCTTTCACTGACGTTCAAAAAAGCGTTTGTCCTTGTGTTGAGGATGAACATGTAAACGTTGCTTCAACTTTGAATCATTTGACAAAGCTTTGCAACAAAATACACATTGAGGCCTTTCTTCTCTGTTGATGATGATGGATGTGAATCTATACTGAATATAACATTCATCTAAACGTCATTTTTGATGCTCATGATGGGCTCCACATACTGTAAATAAAAAACAAGAAAAAAGATTTTTCCCTTCCCACCTAGAAACCCTGAAATTCACCCCTGGGAGGAATTTCCCCTTGATTGATGACTTAACAAAGACTAGGAATTCATCTATCACAGTAAACTAAGCAGATCGCTGATTTTCCATTGACAAATCTATTTAAACAATAGCTGGGGCCACAACAAGCACTATTGGACAGAGATGACTCTACACGTTCTAGAACTCCAGAACTCAGAGAGGCAATGAATAACCAGATCGCTAGGATTAGTTTAATGGCACATGTTAATGTTTTCATAGTAAAATTAGTATTAACCAATCATTATAATTTTTCAGTGTGAGAGACGAACATCTGTTCGGTATCCTTCGTATATATATACACTCACATAGACGATTAACACCACAACACACAAAATAGTTACATTAAATATGTGCAAATGTTCTCAGCGACATTTTATTTGAAAATATAAATAATATAAATTTTCCAGAAAATGATATATCTATGTTTAACTAGCAGCATAACCCGGCGTTGCCCGTGCTTGATTCAAAAATCGTACGACTCATACAGCAATCGCTATCACTTGACTTAAAATATTTTTGCCCTTCCTTGCCTTTAAAGGAATGCCCTTTGCAGTGTTGATGTTCCTACATGCCTTACTTCTTGCCTATCTCACACTGCGATTTTTTTCTAAGCTCTATACTAAACATTAAATCTGTTACGAGAAAAGAACTAAACAAAATGAACACAAAACGATCAGCTTTATAAAAAGGACTCGTAACTGGAAAAACCGGATGAAAAAAGAATGTTAACAACAGATACTTTTTCACACCCAAACCAGTTCTGCAGAATCAGAATCAACGTTGAGTTAAAGCAAGCGAATGAGCCTATTGGAGTAAAGTGCCATGCAGATTTAAATTTTTCCTACTTGTGACTAATGCAGCTATCGATCTGTTTTGCATGCTAGCATGCTAGTTAACATTCGGGTTTAGTCAGCTGTTGTTTCTCCCGCTAACTTGGAGCATATGCATGTAAATTTTGGTGCAAATCCGTCGAAAATTGCGGCCGTGCATTCGTTACACGCACACACGCACGCACACACACACACACACACACACACACACACACACACACACACACACACACACACACACACACACACAGATCCTGTCTTTTATAGATAGAGATTGAAAATTTAAACTTGGCCTCTATTTCTTCGGAGACTCCTCAGTGATGCAAGCGCCTCCTAAGCACCACGTAAGTCCTCTTCCTGAAGATCGTCAAATACCCACCTGCGATTAAGGTGATTTAAAAAAAAAAAAAAGATTTTAAAAGGGCACATTATTTTGGTACTAACTTATTTTGTTTTAGTTTTTGCTTAATCATTTCGTGCCATGCAAGGCGATAATGTCACTAAGACGCAAGGGTTTATGAGTAGTGAAAGAGAATGAGAAGACTTTTGAAAGAATCGGAAATCCAGTCCTAAGCTGGAAACAAGAGATAAACATCTAGTCTTGTCCAAAAGCCCGTGGAGGAGTGTGAACTATTTAATTCTATCTATCTATCTATCTATCTATCTATCTATCTATCTATCTATCTATTTAATTCTGTTAATATCTAACTATTTTTTCAATTAATTCATCCTAAGCAATGCGATAATGTCACTAAGACTCAAGGGGTTACAGAAAGTGAAAGAAAATAGGACATTACAAAGAATCGGAAACCCAATCCTAAACAGGAGACAAGGGGTAAGCTTCTACTCCTGTTAAAAAGACTGGGAAGGAGTGTGAACCGGGCGATAACAGTAAGAAATAGGTTATATTGAAATATTTATGTCGCATATTAATCATAGGGTCTCAATGATCATGCTCCTTTCAATGTATCATCGTCTGTGTAAATTATATTCTTTTCCTTACTAATTTATTACTGCAGGAATGTGGGATAATTAAACCAACAAAAAACTAAGTTGAAAGTAGTTAAAATCTAAGTTCTATAACGATACAGATAAGGTAAAAACCGAGCATTCAGATGTTGTCTCGCTAATGTATATTTTATTCTTGCAAAATAAAAAGTCTTTTTTTCTGACGAAGCCAGATTACCGGCGAAACATGTCAAAGTAAAGTTTTATGCATTCACAATTTTCTGACATTTTTCCATTCCGTCGGATCCTAATCCAACTTTAGTCTTTTTCTCTCTCGCTCACTTTCAAACATACACGGACACACACACACACACACACACACACACACACACACACACACAAGCGCCAACTCCCCACGCATAAAATTCAGCCAATAACATGAGTCAACAAGTACCTCTATACTGCTATCTTCTATTCGTACTTGATATATTTGAATAACATCCCTTGCGGTGTTCTTCATTGATGACCTTCCCGGCGTCGTATTTTCAGTGAACAAATGAATAATTAGATGAGATTAGAGGAAAAGTGACTTAAAGATATCCTGCAATCAAACGTTTCAGATATATTCATATCAGGATTCTTGCAATCAGCTGTTAGTAATTTTGACTTTCTATATTCTCAACGAAATAAAAAAAACGGTTTAAAAATATACTCGGAGTGTTTCACTCCTTTGATGTCAGTCCTTTTTCAAATTCTTCTGTAACCATTCTTAACAGATTATATATATATATATATATATATATATATATATATAGTTAAGTTACGAAGAACTTGGTAAACCGAATGGGTAATTCCAAGGAGGATGAAATCCTGAGAGCTCAATGTGAATCCAGAGCTAATATTTAATTTATCATTAAATATATATATATATATATATATATATATAGGTAGCGATGGTTAAATTGTTATCTAAATTACGCAAAAATGAAAGTAAAACTGACATCTCAATTTAACAGATATATTTACCAAAATTACCAAAAAGTATCTTGAAATACAAAAGAGGAAATTTCTTCAATAAAATCGCCATTGGTTTCAACCACGGCCTCCAGACGACTTCGGAATCCCCTGCAACTCTTCTGGAAGTTCTCGAATTCTCAGATTGACACCCAAACACTCTGAAATTTTCGTATTGGAGCTTGCCGTTTCAAAATTTCTGGTCAAATGAATTGCGTCATGGTGCATTTTTTCTCACAGACGGTGCCCAACTGACCCTACTATTCTGTGCAGTTAACAAAATAAAAAAAACGAAAAAAGCGCATGCCCGAAATTAAAAATATAATATACAATTTATATATAGCACCCTATATATATATATATATATATATATATATATATATATATATATAATTATTTATTTAAAAGGCTCTGCTTTTGTATCGAGTACTGTTTTTTAAGAATAATAACAAAAATACTAAAGATCTTTAGATTATTTACCTAACGAGTTCTTTCCTATTTTCTATATATTTTCACACACACACACACATATATATATGAATAAATATAGTTTTAAGGTATGCTATATTTATGAGATAAAGAGCTCAATATCAGAGATAGAGCGTATGTAAATATAAATATAAAAGTGAACACTGACGTCAACACTCAGAGGCGACAGACTGTTTCATGCTGAACGCAATTGTAAGGCCGCCTGACGATTACGTCTAGAATGAAACAGCCAGTCACCTCAGAGTATTGACTTCAATGTTCACTTAATATATATATATATATATATATATATATATATATATATATATATTAGTAGGCATTTGTCGACATTTTCGGACACACCTGTATCCTTTCTCAACAAAACGAGAAATAAACAAACAAGTGAGACTCACTGATTGGGGAATGTTTTTGTTGTTGGTTAGATGACTAAATTGAAAATGTCTTTTAACTCCTTATTTTCAAAATAGAATGACACACTAAAGGATTAAACAGGGATTTGGGTCGAGAATATAGTTTCCACAGGGAGTTCTCTAACCAATAACAACAACATTCTCAAGCGAGAAGTGTGAGAAAAGAAAATGTTAGCATAGAACTTATGGTTACATCTAGTCAAATCAACTGTATATTGGTGAGATCTTTTTGTTAATCTAGAACTTCACTTAAATTTATAAAGTCTAGTTTCCATAGAGGAACGTTCATCCAAACAATTAGCATGAACGTATTTGTAGAAAAAAGATACTTTTCATTGGTGGGAAAAAAGATACTTTTCATTGGTGGGAAAAAAGATAATTTTCATTGGTGGGAAAAAAGATACTTTTCATTGGTGGGAAAAAAGATACTTTTCATTGGTGGGAAAAAAGATAATTTTCATTGGTGGGAAAAAAAGATACTTTTCATTGGTGGGAAAAAAAGATACTTTTCATTGGTGGGAAAAAAAGATACTTTTCATTGGTGGGAAAAAAGATACTTTTCATTGGTGGGAAAAAAAGATACTTTTCATTGGTGGGAAAAAAAGATACTTTTCATTGGTGGGAAAAAGATACTTTTCATTGGTGGGAAAAAAGATACTTTTCATTGGTGGGAAAAAAGATACTTTTCATTGGTGGGAAAAAGATACTTTTCATTGGTGGGAAAAAAGATACTTTTCATTGGTGGGAAAAAGATAATTTTCATTGGTGGGAAAAAAAGATACTTTTCATTGGTGGGAAAAAAGATACTTTTCATTGGTGGGAAAAAAAGAAATTGGTGGAAAAAAGATACTTTTCATTGGTGGAAAAAAAAGATACTTTTCATTGGTGGGAAAAAGATACTTTTCATTGGTGGGAAAAAAGATACTTTTCATTGGTGGGAAAAAAGATACTTTTCATTGGTGGGAAAAAAGATACTTTTCATTAGTGGGAAAAAGATACTTTTCATTGGTGGGAAAAAAAAGATACTTTTTGGTGGGAAAAAAAAAGATACTTTTTCATTGGTGGGAAAAAGATACTTTTCATTGGTGGGAAAAAAGATACTTTTCATTGGTGGGAAAAAAAGATACTTTTTGGTGGGAAAAAAAGATACTTTTCATTGGTGGGAAAAAAGATACTTTTCATTGGTGGGAAAAAAAGATACTTTTCATTGGTGGGAAAAAAAGATACTTTTTGGTGGGAAAAAAAGATACTTTTCATTGGTGGGAAAAAAGATACTTTTCATTGGTGGGAAAAAAGATACTTTTCATTGGTGGGAAAAAAAGATACTTTTCATTGGTGGGAAAAAAAGATACTTTTCATTGGTGGGAAAAAAGATACTTTTCATTGGTGGGAAAAGATACTTTTCATTGGTGGGAAAAAGATAATTTTCATTGGTGGGAAAAAAAGATACTTTTCATTGGTGGGAAAAAAGATACTTTTCATTGGTGGGAAAAAAAGATACTTTTCATTGGTGGGAAAAAAAGATACTTTTCATTGGTGGGAAAAAAAGATACTTTTCATTGGTGGGAAAAAGATACTTTTCATTGGTGGGAAAAAAAGATACTTTTCATTGGTGGGAAAAAAGATACTTTTCATTGGTGGGAAAAAAGATAATTTTCATTGGTGGGAAAAAAGATACTTTTCATTGGTGGGAAAAAGATACTTTTCATTGGTGGGAAAGTGACTGAAGCCGAGACACTTAAATTCATCAAGTCCAGGTACCATAGAGGAAAGTAATATTTATTTTGGTATAATAGGAGTATAGAGGAAAGCTGGTCTTCAATGGGAGTATAGAGGAAAGCTGGTCTTCAGTCTGTCTTATCTTAAACTTAGTTAGCCAGAATTACTGACCCTAACGTATCACAGTATGCCTTAAACCAAAACAACACAGTCTTACTTAAAATTCATACTACAGCCGCCATAATACTTCAGAGACTCTATGAAGTCCTAATTAGTCCCTATATGTACCAAAACGGAAAGTAATATTTCTTTTGAATAATACAAAAATGTGGAACAAGGACAAAAGTGAGGGATAGGGGAAGGCTAGTCTTCAGTTTGTCTTATCTTAAACTTAGCTAGCCACGATTACTGACCCAAGCATACCACAGTATTCCTTACACCAAAACTACACATTCTTACTACAGCCACCATAATACTTCTGAATTTCTATGAAAGAGAAAGCACCTCAGAACAATTACCATAAAAGTATCTATAGAAAAGGCACGTTGAAGGTATGTCACGGCGGTGGGAGGGTGGCAGAAACCGAGATGTTAGATCAAGAACAATAATATTGCAGATTCTTCTTTAGATTTTATCAAGAATCTGTAAATATATAGCAGTAACACTGGACCATATGTGGCAGCAATATGTAACTTTCTGAGCAGAAGACCTATTGATAGATCCAATATAAACTTTACACTTCATGACAGCGGAGAACACTAGTCCGAGAACTCACACTTCTGGAGGCTAGCATCAGCCATGCTGATGGGAGACAGAAATAAGTCTATAAGATGATTAATAGAGAGAAATTTCGTTTCCAGGTAGCATCCGAGACGAAAAAAATAAATGCCAATCGAAATATTTTTTTTTTTTTTTAAATGTGTTATTGTTAACGGATACAAACTTTTGGAGCGTGCAGTCGCAACGCTAAGGTTAAATTTTTTTTTTTAAATTTAAGAGAGAGCGTTTTTTTACTAATATGGTAATTTGAGAATTTTTTGTTGTTGCTGTAGGAGTTTATAATACAAAATATAAATATAATACAAAATATAAATATATACAAAATATAAATATATA